ATACAAGTATTACTTCTTTGACTATACTGTTTGCATGCTTTTTTTACTTTCTCGTATATACGAAGTATAGAGAAAGTCTTATAATCGTGCAAAAAAATCGAGATTTTTGCAAATCTCGACGTTTTAGGGCTCCCTGAGTCGGAAAAACATAGTTTTGCAATCTTGTCCGTATGTCTGTGTGTATGTGTGTCTGTGTGTGTGTGTCTGTAAACACGATAACTTGAGTACCGTTACAGCAAGGTTGATAAAATTTCATATATAAGTATTATATCAAAATCATATATCCGTATCAACTTTTGAGCGATTTCCAATAACTGAAGTGGAACTTTTTCTACTTTGAATTCTTCAAAAGCCTATAACTTGAGTACTATTTTAGATAGATAAATGAAATTTCACTTGTAAGTAAAAGATACAATTCTCTGCCATCTATTAAGTTTTGAGTAATTTCCATCGATCGGAAGTAGTAATTTACCCTATTTCCGATTTCCCAAAAATACGCATGTGAATTTATAAAATACTAATAATATTCCGCACTATTGTGCACTTTTTATTTGGCGTTCACTTAGTGTAAAATTCTTTTTTTCTACGAGATTCTATTCTATTATAAAAAGTTTAAGTAATTAAAAATGGATTAAAAGTATTGTCTATGTCCTGAGTTGCCATCACCCGTAGTGTTATATTAGAATATTCGAGAAAGTTTAGGGGAGATCACTCCCAGTTTATTTAAAATAAATATTCAAAGAGATTGTTTACTTATATAATTAATTTAAAATGTCAACTGTATTTCACAACGAAAATCAACACAATATACATTCGAATAGAAACTGTCAAGGGAGACTACTCTAATATTTGTAGGATTAATAGTTTTTATTAAGAGTTTGTTATTATTAGAAGAAAAGTTAATTATGTAGGTTATATAAAAGATTACTTTGCATTTATTCGATAGGTTTAGAATGAGAAATAATTAAAACTATTTAGTATATTCATAAGTTTTTTTCCATATAATATAATAGAAAACCTGTTTTAATTACTTTTTTAAAATCTTATTTTAATTAATAAATCATAAATGAAGATAGAGGTCCTATATTTTTTTTTAAAAATAGTTCCACTGTCCCTGAATAAATTCAAATGCATAAAATATAGCGTAAATTACTACTTGTGGTCAACGGAAATTACTCATGTTTTGTCAAAAGGCAGAGAATTGGATCTTTTACTTACACGTGAAATTTCATTTATCTATCTGAAATAGTAGTCAAATAATAGGATTTTGAAAAAATTAAAGTAGAATAAGTGTCACTTCCGGTTACCGGAAATCGCTGATACAGAACTACAAATTTGATATAATACATATATCTGAAATTTCATCAACCAAGCTGTAACGGTACTCAAGTTATTGTGTTCACAGTCATCTAATTATCTCCCTTCTTTCAAATTTTGAATAATTTCAGTTGGGCTGAAGTAGGACTTTAAGCTATTTCCGACCCGCTGCGTATCATACGCCGCTATTTAGTTGTTTTTTTTCTACTTTTCAGTAATTTATAATTTGTTAATTCGACAGTACCAATGCTGCCACTGAAAATATTTGCTTAAAAACACTAAACCCCCCTTCCCCCCCCCCCCCCCCCGGTGAAAGCAGCCTCCTCTTAGTTACCTCCTCTAAGTTTAAAATCGTTTCAAACTAAATTATCTGCCCCTAATAGCCGTCACCAAACCCGTCTCTATGATTGTAAAATGTAAACAGCGTAAACCACAGCTCACCATACCATGAGAGGGGGTGGGGGGTGGGGGTGGTAGCGATAGAGAGGAAGAGAGGGGACTGTAAGGCGCGCTTGCAGCTTGTTTTCTAACGGCTCCCAGAAGAGAATTATATAAATAGACTAGTATTCCGAACTATTATACATATGGTGTGCCGTTCACTTGGTGTGCAAATCGTTTTTCATATTATTTTTAAAAAGTTTAGGTATGTAAAAACTGATTAAAAAACATGTCTATATCACGAACTTTCTTCTATCCCCGCGGCAACGCGCGGGGGACGGGTACGCTAGTATATATATATATATATATATATATATATATATATATATATATATATATATATATATATATATATATATATATATATATATATATATATATATATATATATCAGGTTGGAATTCTGAAACATAATTAATGCTGTTTTTAATCCCGTCAAAGGCAGAGTTGGCGTCTAAAATATTCTAATTAAAATTGTCAAACAGTGTATCATTCGTTTTATTAAATTAAATTCCTGTTCAATCAATAATCGTAAACCTGAACTAATTACTAACCAGCATCTAAACTAGATCCACGAATCAGTGTTATTAATGCAATTTTCAATTACATACCCACACGAGTTTCACCAGGTTATTAAAGAAAAACAATCCTTGCTTAAGCATTGCATTGAGAACAATGATACGTGGACTGGATAATTCTTTGTTGTTCTGCCTGGCACAGGCAACAATGATTAACAAAATTAATTTTGTCTCGGAAAACACATACAGACTCAAATACAGACTGAAACACAAAAGCATTATAACATACACTCTCGCAAAGACATGAAAAAAAGCACTCGAAAATACACACTCCTAACTTATCCAATCTCAAACCACAACCCCTGCAATAAACGTCGACATTTACAAACATTTTTCCCACACGCCTCAACTTGATAATCTCAATAAACATGTATCTTTGAACGTGAATTACAGTGTACTCCCATACGTACCTGTAAATATACACAAACATACATAAACATACGTCTAAACTGATAAAAACGCCATTGCCTTTGACCAAACGTACACATTATCCGATAATTACACACACACACACACTCGTACGCACACGCGACGGAGTGGTCTAGCGGTAGAGAGCTGGACTGCTAACCCGTAAGTCTCGAGTTCGAATCCGTGTTCAAGTCAGTAGACCGTCCCTGAGTCCACTCTGATGGGTACCTAACTCACGTTAGGGAACATAAAGGCGGCTTGGCATAGTGCTGACCACACTATCTCTTCATATACCGAGGTCAAAGAAACAAGTGAACTCTACTTCACTTGCCCCATAGACCGTCAGGTTTGAAAGGGAAACATTTTTACACACGCACGCACACGCGCGCTTGCACACACGCATGCATACATACACACACATGATGTCTGAATAAGTAAGCTACAACATAAGAGGTTAGCTGGTGTGTTGGTTTGATCTGTCAATAGCACGTGCCAACACTTTGTGAGCGATGAGGAGGTGATATTTTAGTCTCATTATATTTCACATCTGCAACCAGGCATGGGTGTAGAGCGGTTAACGTATAATATTCAAAGGTATTCAAGGTGTCGACTTGATCGAACACATAGTTGCTAAACCGAAAAATCTCGAGTTCGAACCCTCAGGCAGAAGTTGCTCGATTGCTGGGGACAGCAGCTCTCCTAGGCCAGACAACTACAAAAGCAAACAACTACTGTCTTGTAGTTTGTTTTTGGTCAAACAAAAGAAAATCCAAAAAGAAAAGCAGGCTAAAATCGGAGTCTACGGCCTAAACGGCTACGGCTACAGCTTCGGCTACGTCTACTATGGCGGCTATGGCGGCTAGAGCGGCTAGGGCGGCTATGGCAGCTATGGCGGCTAGGGCGGCTATGGCGGCTATAACTACTATGGCTGCTATTGCTACTATGGCTACTATGGCAAAAGCAAATTGCACTACACACCAAACACACACACTACACAGTTTTATCAAATCCACGTACATTTTCATAGTAAAACGACAAAAAATGGTAATAAAGAAAAAACATATATATATATATATATATATATATATATATATATATATATATATATATATATATATATATATATATATATATAAAATTCTCTACGTCATTTTAGCACTTACTTCTTAACTGTAAAGATTTTTGTGAAAATCGTAATAGTGTACACCTATATTGTAAAGTTATAGTTAGAATTTGTGTTGTACAATTCTTCTTGAACTCGATCTGGCAGGTTTTGGTTTTGTTTTTAAAAATGTTCGTGTTTTTATAAACTCTATATAATTTTTCGAGTAGATTTAAGTTCAATTTAAGATTAAGGTGTACGTGATGTGGCCTGAATAAATTTTGGAGATGCCCATTGAAGCTTGAGTTGCCCAATCAGCATTGTGCTAATTTGATGGAATAAAGTTAATTTTATTTGTAATTCTTTGACCTTGGCTGAAGTCTGGTTAGGGATTGACGCCAAATCCTAAGGTTTGCATCTTATTTTAAATCTTGTACGCACATGCTTTAATCTATTACCGTACTTTAGGCAATCAATACAACGTATTAACTAGATCGAGCTTAGCCCGTTCATTTATTTGTATATTGACCTGTATTTAAAATTGTGTCCTTAACTTTATAGGATGCTGTCTATTTGCAAATATATCTGAAATGTGTCGCTACGTCTCTGGTAGATTGATTCAGAAACATGAGATTTATGTCCATGTATAGAGAGAGAGAGTGATAATTCTGCTAAATCAATACATATGTATATATTTAAATGTGTATTTCTGTTTGTCGTTCTTTGAAAAAGTGCAGCAAAGAAACGTAACTCAGTTGTTGTTTTTCACTTTGCACTACCAGTTTACTTGCTGTTTCAAAAAAATTCTCATAAAAAGTTTTAATTATATAACACAATGGACCCTCAACATTTTTTCACTTATCTCCCTTGTTTCATTGCTTATTCAGAAATAACAATCAGTTAGAAGTTATTTCCTGCTTCTGTGGAAAGATATTTTAGTATTGTTTTTAATGCTGTTTTTCCTTTAACACTGGGATAGTGCATATGATGAGAATAAGCAGCTTTCACGCTCTTTTATTGGTCATTTATTACATTATTTTTTTATGTGATACTTTATTCAACCTTATGCTATTCAACAGAAAAACTACATTTATTATGCATTATATATAAATAATGTAAGTCGAAATAAAAAAGAAGAAAGAAAATACTTTTGTCTATATGTTTATTTTACAACCATATTAGATAATATGACAGTAACATTCGTATGCGATTTTTATATTTAACAGTACCATCAATATATGACAGCGTCGTACACATACATTGAAATGAACATATGACACTGGAAACTTTCTTCCTGCCTAATTGCGCCCGCAAGTTTCCATACATTTCTTCCTTGTTATGAAGTTGTTTTTATTTCCTAAACAACCGCCGAAGATAAATGTATCACATCTTCCAGATGATGGGTTGAAGTAGTATCTGAGGAAGTAGCCATAACATCGGCCTTTATTTGGCTGTAATTGACAGTCCGACGCTGGTGGTTAAAAAAAAATAGTTCATATTACTGCATTCTGTTTAGTAAATGTTAAAAACAAGTTTATGTTACTAACTTTTGTTTGGTAAATGTCAACCCAATATTTCATATTACTGCATTTATTTAGTAAATGTTAAGAAAAGAGTTCATATTTCTGCATTTTATATAGTAAGTGTTATGAAAACAGTTCATGTTATTGACGTTTATTTGGTAAATGTTAACAAAGTAGCTCATATTTCTGCATTTTATTTTGTAAGTGTAAAATAAAAAATTCACATTATAGCTTTTTATTTAGCGCTTGATATTCAATAATAATTTGGTGGAGGTGAACTTTGTTAGACTATTTTTTCTTTTATATAGTTAAAATAATAACAATGAGGTTACCGAGTGATATTAAATAGAAACTGATATGAGTTACTGTAGCTAAACAATAAAACTACTAAAAAAATTAATTAAAAGTTACGGTTATTACTGTTACAAAGTACGAAAATTGGGTATAGCTTACAGATCTTTAAAAATTTAAAAAGTATGAATTGCACTTTTATTTCATACGACTACTAAACTGAAAGTCTCGAGTTCGAATCCAGGTTCAAGTCCGTAGAACGTCTTAGATTCTACCCAGCTCTGAAGAGTACCTGACCCATGCTATGTAAAGGCTGGGCATAGTGCTGACCCCACTATCCCACAGAAACAGGTGAACTCTACTTCACTTGTCCCGTGTACCGTCAGGTTCGAAAGAAAACTTTACTTACTTTATTTCATCATTTCTTTTTTTTTTTGCAATATTTTTTTCTTTAATGTAAATCAAGTAAGAAATAATATTAAATGTACAATTTTGTAGATCCCCTAGTGATACGTTAATAATTTCAAATATTTTCATATTTAACTCCTGACGATTTTAGGAACCTTATTTTTATTTGAATAGATTCTCTGCAGTAAAGTAGTTAGGTTTTATAGAGGCAGACCAATCATGTCCGGCAGATGCAACAAGGACAAGATAGGCACTGCAGATGGTTGTTAAAACTATCTCTGGATCGAAATACATGAAATGTTATTGTGCGACTTTTGTCAAAAATGGAAATAGATTAAACTTAAACCGGGTTAATATGTTATTGTTTTTTTTTACATGGAACAATCAAGGAAATAGAATTAAACTAGATACTTGTATTTTAATTACGACGTAGATTTACTATTTAAAAACATGTTCACGCGAAAGGAGGTATAATATAATCTAGATTTAAAAAATGTAATATAGATTTTATATGAAAAAATCGAAGAAAAAATACTTGAACCATACATTCTAATTAAAACCTTAATTTATCAAAGTACGTATGAGATTCTAAAATGATACAATTAAAACACAATTTTAAGTCAGCTGATGAAAATATTCGAAATGTTATGTTTAAAATATTTCAGTGATACTGTGATACTTACGGCGATCCCCCGCTGAAAGTTGGATGATGAACGCAATAAGTAAAACACAAACCGCCTTAGACAACATTTTACAAAAGTTGTTTCTTGTGTTAGCTGATCTCCGCAAAGTAATTTTATAATTAGCAGCAGCACTTTAGTGAGTTAATTAAAACTGTTTTTTTAAACAACAAGCTCACTTATTGGAAAGCTTTATAAAAAGAAATCAAAGTGTCGTGGGTGGATATATATTACAAACAAAATTTCGCCTAAATTTTTTTGAATATAAGATAAAAATCTATACCCTAAAATGTGTGCTTGGTAGTAAATATATATATATATATATATATATATATATATATATATATATATATATATATATATATATATATATATATATATATATATATATAAGCCATCATGATACATAATCTTGTGTATAATATAACCAACTACAAATATAGCTTAATATGCAAAATAGATCAATAGTTTTGAAACAATAACTGGTCTGTTAATTTGTTATTGTTCTTTTATAACAGAAGCAACAAAATAACAACTCATCCATTTACCAATATTTCCGATTTGTTGACATCCATTAATTGTATCCAACCCGCCTTAAATAATTACATCATCCTGTCAATGCTTTCTCCCAATCACATAAACTGATACAGAACTTAGTAGGAACGGTAGAGTTTAACAAATATTAGTGGTTTAAAATTTAAAAGATTTAAGTTTTAAGAAATAAATGGGAAAAAAGGTTAATATCTGTCTTTGTGCCAATGATAGCCCTCTACTACTCTACTTCCAGAGTTTCTTCCAGGTATCTCTTCCACCCCCTTTCTCCCGAAAAACGTCTACCGCCCCCCCCCCCCCCCTCGAACGAAATAAAATATATATAGAGAGAGAATATATACTTTAACTAGTGTCCGCCCCCTACCCCACCAAAATTTTAGTCGCTGAGAGTTATAAGCAAGTTTAGACCTTTCATTTAACAAGCTTTTTTTATCTGATGTAAATCAATAGGTTAAAGGTGAGAAGAGGGGGGAGGTGGTAGTGATCGAAACCTTAAAATCAATATTGTAGGCTGCTTTGTGTTTAATACCTTTGAAATCATAAATCCGGCCCCCACCCCTCTCCCACTCCCACCACCCACTGTACAGATGGGCTACTAAGCTACTAATTAAAAGCCTAGCGGTGACCGGCATATAGGTGAGCTTAACGTAATGCTGATTCAACAAAATAAGCTGTTTACTCCGTGCCAATCACATGTGGTTATTGCAGGTCAAGGTAATTACTGCCCTTTTAATTACTCCCCCGACATGTTATTATACCACTCCCCACCCCCTAATTACCCCATCATCTCCCTCTCCCTCTCTCTCTTTCTCTCTCTCTCTCTCTCACACACTCTCTCTCCCTCCCTCTTTCTCTCTCTCCGTTAAACATATAATTCATTTTATCGTCTAAGTAATAACACAGCATTCACAGCTAGGGCACTGATATTTATTGCCGTAGATTTCACATTTTATAATACTTTAATAATACCCTCTTTTCGGTTACACCTTTGATTTTTTGTATTGACATATTCTAACAGAGATCAATTTCAAATAATTTTGTATATTTTCCCACGTTTTCTTTAACTTGCTTTCTCTGTGTCTTTCTGTGTTTGTTTGTCTTTCCAATCAAATCTTGCGATCGAAATTTCTGGCACTTCCCAGTTAGCTAGCGCGCTGAAATTTTCAGGGAAGCTTTCTTTTGGATGACCATTGAATATTCAATTGTTATTATTACTAAATTGATCAATGGAAACATTTTATTGAGCATTTTAGACCGCTATATAATCTATATATATAATTCTCCTCTGCGAGCCATTAGAAAAAAAACGAGCGACGCGTACCTCGCACGCAGTGAAGCGAACGATCCCACATCGCCACAGGCTTAGGGGCAGATCATTTAGTTTGAACCGAGGTTAAACTTACAGGAGGTAGGACAGTTTAGAGGAGACGATATGGTCGAGTGGTTGGGCACACGATTGCTATCCCACTCGACACGGGTTCAAATCTATATGTTAACACAACGTGTTTTTTACGAGTTGTCTTTTTACGAGTTGTCTTTTTACGAGTTGTCTTTTTACGAGTTGTCTTCGTTTACCCAAAAAAAGTGAAAAGATAAAATCGATAGCAAGATTTTAATGCAAACAAAGACTAAAAACTAGAAAATAATAATCATTAAAAAAGTTTTTAAAAACCCACGTTTTCTGATTGAACTAAAAAGTAGAAAATAAACGCTATACATCACAATAATGCAAGCGATCACTCTACTATAAGCGATCAAAAACGTGGGGCGCCGTGATTTTCTTACAGTTTCTAATACTGTTGACTCTCTACAAGCTCCCTAATAAAAGTCAATAGTATTATCTAATCAATAGTAATATAACTTTTACTTCGGCGCCCCACGTTTTTCATCGCTTATAGTAGAGTGATCGCTTGCATTATTGTGATGTATAGCGTTTATTTTCTACTTTTTAGTTCAATCAGAAAACGTGGGTTTTTAAAAACTTTTTTAATGATTATTATTTATAATACCCTCTATTCCGTTTGACCTTGGATTGTTTTATTAACGTAGATATTTATTTCACTATGTATTTATTTATGCTAAAGAAATAAAACCAATAAACATTCATTTCAATTATATATTATTAAATAATAAAATGTGAAATAAGGAGGAGAAAAACTTGGAGGTATATGTATACGTTTATTTTACAACCATATTATCAAATATAACCGTAACATTTGTATGCGAAAGTGGAATCTACATATTTGATTGTGACCGCATCACAAATAAATTTACGCTCACATATGAAACTGTTGTCCGTAGTAAACACGGCTAAAAACTTTCTCCTTGTTTGATCTCAAACCCTTGCAATACCTAACATAACATTCATAAAGGGGGAGGGAATGTCTATTCATCTCAAAGGGGTCGGCGTGGTCGAGTCGGTAAAGCTCATGGTTGCTAAACCGAAAAGTCTCGAGCTCGAACCCTCGGGCAGATGAGGCTCGTTAGCTGGGGACAGCCACTCTTCTAGGAGAGACAACTCCAAAATTAAACAACTGCTGCCTTGTAGTTTATTCTTGGTTGGACAAAGGCTATGGAAGCAAATCCAAAAAGAAAAGTAGGCTGAAATCGGAGTCAATGGCCTCAATGGCGCATAACCAGTTGACACGTAACGCTTAATTGTGTTGGAGGCGTGGTCGAGTCGGCAAAAAGCTCATGTTTGATAAATTCGAACAAAGTCTCGAGTTCAAACCCACTGGCAGATAAATCTCGATCCCCTTCAACACTAATAATTAAGAACGAAGAAGAAGAAGAAAGATTCATCTCAAGCAAAATATCCACTCATTTTACCATTCTCGCAGATGTGGGTTGTTAAGTAAAGTAAAATTCCCTTTTCAAACCTGACGGTCTATGGGGCAAGTAAAGTAGAGTTCACTTGTTTCTGTGACCTCGGCATATGATGAGATAGTGTGGTCAGCACTATGCCCAGCCGACGTTACTTCCCCTAACGTGAGTTAGGTACCCATCAGAGTTGGGTGTACTCAGGGACGGTCTACTGACTAGAACCCGGATGCAAACTACGGGTTAGCAGTCCAGCTCTCTACCGCTAGACCACTCAGTCCCGTGATGTGGGTTGTAGGACGAAATAAAGTCAACACTCAAAGTTACTATTATTACCGATTTAACGGCACCTATGTATATTTCCAGTCTTAATGTTGTGATTAACTTTATGCACAAAAATTATCAGATGAAGAACTTAAAGTTAGTGTTTTGAAAACAATGGATCATTATTTAAAAGATATGTTGTCTAGTATCAGTTAGATGTCTTGTTGGCAATAAGACAACACTATAGACAAGTGGCTTTTGACAAAAACCTTCGTTGGTGTCTCTGACAGAGTTCTACCACTCGATCACTTTATTACTTCCTTAAGTGATTAGCAACTGTTTGAACCAGACAGCCAGACTAACTTTGAGAGCTATAAAAATAAAGGAGAGAACTTTCGATCTGATGTTAAATCGAAAAGTTCATGGCGAAGTAGTAGACTGGATGTTGAAACTATGAATCTATCCGGCTCACATCATCGACCGTACAGACAGGCTACTAATTAAGTGGTAAGAGCCTAGCTGTAGCATTATCCAAACGCTGTTATGGGAGCAAAAATATTTAACGCTGATGCGACAAAAATATCAAACGCGTGTGAGGGTTATATGTTGGGGTTTAGGTCATCAAATTTATCGCCCTTTTAATTAATCCTCCTCCCCCCCCCCCCCCCTCCTCACATCCATGTTATTTCCTCTTATGTTAAGTACTCATTCTAGAATATCTATAAAACTTTGTATTGTCTAAGTGACAAACCTGGCTTTATACAGAACATGGCATTATAATGATTGCTTAGGCATATCATCTAAAATCTAAAGCATTCCCTTAACCTTGTTAGGGTCGTTGGGGCACCACCGTGTTGTGTGTCTAGGGTTAAGTGTCCCATGGCGGCGCACACCACTCTCCTTGCCTGACCACAGCCGGATGCCTCCATCTTGGTGGCTCGCTTTGGTCACGAACACGTGGCCGATGAAGTTCATCTAGGAACTGTTGCGCCCAGTGTTTCTTCCAGACTTTTTTCTCCGGGGGGGGGGGGGGGGCACTTGAAATTTTTGGGAGGGTGGTACACTTTCTTCGAGCGGGGGGCGGACACTGTTAAAAGTATATATTTTCTATATAAATTATATAAATTCCATTCAGTTCGGGGGAGGGGGGGGGGCGGTAGAATTTTTTCGGGGGGGGAGCTTTGCCCCCCCCCCCCCCCCCGAAGAGATGCCCGAAGAAACTCTGGTTGCGCCCTGGCCGGTGACCTTTACTGGAAGGTCATACGCACCGGTGATGTCATGTAAGCATCGGTGGTTTAATTTTGGAGTTTTCTCTCCTTAAAGAGTCACTAACTCCAGCTATTGAACCTCATGTGCCAGGGGATGGAACTCGGGATATTTCGTTTTAGCAATTTATTTTTTTTTTTTTAAATATGTTTATATAATGAAAGAATAATCATAAAACTAAACTACAGAGTAAATATTTCTTTTTATAAAAATTTAGATCAATAGAGATCAGTTTTTTGTTGTTTTTTTTTTTTGTTTTTTTTTTTTTTGTTTGTTTTTTATGAACAATAGGCATGAAAAGTCTATGTAATCATACTAAATTTTTGAAAAAATCTTTTAAAAATATGGCAAGAGACAAATAAATTATAATTATATGTGTAAAAAATTAAAGCTGTTTGGGAACCATTGATTACACTAATTTTAATATTTTTGTTTCGAATATAAGCCGTTGAAAAGCAGTTTAAAATTATTTTATCAATTCAAATATTTTCAAAAGGTGCTCTCAACCTCTTTTTGAAGTCAACCAGAATGGTCAGGGAGAGTAAAACAGTAAAATTCAGAAGAATTGTTTTCCTTAATAATAATACACAATAGTGATCTATGGCGTATAACGTACTATTGTATTTATATTAAATAATATAACATCCCCAATCACCACAACACACTGCCTCTAGTAATCCAAATTAAAAATAATAAAAGTGTTTGCTAAATTACTATTATATTACTGGTAATTATGTCTTTGGCTATTTCTAGTCTTAATGAAACTGGAAGTCATTTTGTACTAATTACACAAATTTTATAAAATATTCAATTTTAGTTGAAAAATTTGCCTCATGGTAATAAAAATTTGGAACCATTTTTAACAAGCTTTTCAAGTCTATTGTAAAAAAAATTGTTTATGTAAAGAATGTATATAGAGAAAAACTGAAAGTCAGGTTTACTGCATTTTTATTTCATTACCACATTGTCAAAGATGGCGCAGCATTTACATTCCAAAGTGTTGTATTTATTTCACTGTGACTTGACTGCATCAGTTACCAACCGCAAGAGTCGACACAGTTTTCCTTTGTTTCAAATCTGTTTTTGTTTCCCCCACAGCCGCCATAGTTAAACTCTTCACAGTCGTTAGTTGACGGGTTGTAGTAGAACCTGGGCGCGAGGGCTTCACATTGACCAGGCTCTGGATCCAGTAGACAGTACTTAGCTGGTGATCAGAAAAATAAGAAATATTGTTACACTTTCATTAGGAATAATTTTAAAATAATGTTTCTGCATGCAATTCATTTCAAGTAAGATTTATTTTATGCCCAATTGTCCCTCGTTCCCTCACCCCTCCCCCAGCGTGACAGGGCATTTTGTTAACCCTCCATCTGGGGCATAAGAAATCAAAATCTTGAAGAAGATTTTTCTAGAAGACTTGTCGGTGGCGCAGGTTCTAAGAAAACTTTTAAGTTACCAAATATTTATTTCACTGTAACTTGACTACATCAGTTACCAACCGCAAGTGTAGACACAAGTTTTCTTTGTTTCAAATCTGTTTCTGTTTCCCCAACAGCCCCCGTAGATGAACTCTTCACATGCGTTTGTGGATGGGTTGTAGTAGAACATAGGCATGGCTGCTTCACATGGACCAGGGTCTGGCTCCAGTTTACAGTACTTAGCTGGTGACCAGAAAAATATGAAATAGTGCTACACTTTCATTAGGAATAAATAATTTTAAAATAATGTTTCTGCGTGCAATTCATTTTAAGTAAGATTTATTTGTATGCCCAATTGAAGCCCAGGGAAGATTTTTTTCTAGAAGACTTGTTGGTGTCCCAAGTTCTAAGAAAACTTTTATGTTACCGAATATTTGGAATCGATGGAGGCATGAAGCCGCATGGCAAAGAAACTGTCTTGTGGATTCAATCGAGTTTTATGGGTTGGGGGAATCAAGGAATTTGTCTTGGGGATTTAATCGGAAATGGCTTGGGTAAATCAAGGAAGCTGTCTTTTGGATTCAATCGAGTTTTATGGCTTGGGGGAGTCAAGGAAACTGTCATGGGGATTCAATCGTAAATGGCTTGGGGGAATCAAGGAAACTGTCTTGGGGATGCAATCGGAAATGGCTTGGGGGAATCAAGGAAACTGTCTTGGGGATGCAATCGGAAATGGCTTGGGGGAATCAAGGAAACTGTCTTGGGGATTCAATCGAGTTTTATGGTTTGGGGGAGTCAAGGAAAATGTCTTCGGGATTCAATCAAAAATGGCTTGAGGGACTCAAGGAAACTGTCTTTGGGATTCAATCAAAAATGGCTTGAGGGACTCAAGGAAACTGTCTTGAGGATTCAATCAAAAATGGCTTGAGGGACTCAAGGAAACTGTCTTGAGGATTCAATCAAAAATGGCTTGAGGGACTCAAGGAAACTGTCTTGGGGGACCCGATGACTGTCTTGGAGGACTACAAAAAAAGTGCAGGAGACCGACAAAAGTGAACGCTGCCCCGTGTGTCTTGGTCACATAAGGGAAAAGATGAAATATTTGAGTTTGGAAATTAGATATTATGATAAAGTTTTATTCCAAATATTTTTTTTCTGAGATAGTAGAGGTGTTAAAAACGATGTATGCTAAACTATATTTTTAATAGGCTGACTGAAGTTCCGTGGGGCAAGTGAGGTAGAGTTCACCTGTTTCTGTGACCTCGGCATATGATTGGTTAAGGTTATCAACACTAGGTCCAGCCGACTTTACTTTTACTAATGTGAGATAGGTACCCATTAGAGCTGGCTGGACTCATGGACTTCTACAAATTTAAATCTGAATTCAAACTCATGACTTTCGGGTTAGTAGTTGTAAGCTTTACAATTCGACCTCGTCGTCTCATTTGATCCAAATAGGCTTCTACTGTTTTTTTCACTTCATTAACAGAAAAACATTTTATATATGGGGGAACGGGGGGGGGCTCTGACTAGAGATGTATAAAAATTAATGTGGATGAAATCACAAAATATTCCAGTACTCACGGACTCCCAACACTGATGGTTGCAAGTTGAGCACAACAAGCAACACACAAATCCACTTGGTCCACATTTTAGAACAGTTGTGGCTTATTGCACCTCTCAACATAAAGTAATGTTACAGTGAACAGCAGCACTTGGGGGTGTTAATTACAACTGGTTCATGTACAAAATATTCACTTAATGGCAAGATTTTTTATTTAAGTATTTAAAAGTAATTTTCTTTTCTATGCATCTTAACAGAATATCCGATACGTCTATATTAGTTTAAATAAAAGTCAAACAACATCTTTAAATATAGTTAAAGTACGAAACAATATTAATTAATATATATATATATATATATATATATATATATATATATATATATATATATATATATATATATAGTTATAATAACATAAAACAATACTGTAATAATATAACAGATTTTAAAAGAAACGTTAAATGCAAAACATGAAATATATAATAATGTATTTTGTTTTAAAATAGTATACGGTTACACGATACTGTTAATTTGGGGATATTAAACCCTTGATAAAAATACACATACGAAATGAAAAAGGATCCGAAAGCTAGGAACCGTTCGTTTTAAATGCTGTTATTGTAGTATTGCTTTAAAAAATCTAAATGTATTTGATGTAAATCGTACAATTGCGATTGAAGCACAATCAGTGTTTCGTCCAGACTTTTTTCTCCGGTGGGCACTTGAAATTTTCCGGGGGGGGGGGGGGGGGGGGCGGCAAACTTTCTTCGGGGGGGGGGGGGGGGCGGACACCGTTAAAAGTATATATTTTCTATATAAATTATATAAATTTCATTTGGTTCGGGGGGGCGTGGGGCGGTAGAAATTTTCCGTGGGGGGGGGGGGGGGCTAAGCTGATCATCTAAATGATCATCTAAATCACATTTCACTCTATAAATATTAGAAATAAGTAACGCACGAACAAATCGCACCATTTTCTCTCATTTCATACACTACAACTTCAATTTCCTACTTACCTACTTGCTGGAAAACGTTTCACAGAAACCCTTTATTCCCGCGATCGTTTTATTGCATGCCCTATAGGTTGGGGCCGCTTCTTGTAAACAAAGATTTTGTTCACATAATCAATTACCATAATTAATTACATGAGATAACAGCGTGACGCAAGCTACCAGCGTAGCTTCAGAGCCATAGATAAGACAAGATCCTTGAATTATCGTTTAATAAAACTTCTGTGCGTTGTTTATATAACGTGATCGTTAGTGTAGGCGTCATTGGCATTAATAAATTTGGTGAGCAAGGATACGAGAGCTTAATTCGCGGGCGAAATTCGCTTTTCTTAAATAGATCAGTAATAGTTACATTACAGCAGGGTTTAATTAATTTTATTTTTATAAGGAACGGTGTGGTCACGAAAGTCACGAGTTCGGGTGCCGTGATTTTGTTCATTAACCCACACCCCTAACCCTATACTCATATCCCCATGAATGTATCCATACTCATAGCGTAATATCCTCAAGCTCATAATATATATTCAAAATATGATGTTCTAAACTCACCCAAAACACCATTTTCATACTCATTAATAAACATGTGTTTATAAATCTATGTTCACAACCCCATATTCATAGCCTGGTGTTCAGAACTCCATGTACGCAATCTCGTCATCAATTGGGCATGTTCATCAACCCAAGTGCATAAGCCCATGTACATAAGCCCATGTTCATAAGCCCGTTTTAGCTATAAAATATTCACAAACTCTTGTTTATAATAAACAGTGAATGAGTGCAGAGGCGTAGCGAGGGGGGTGGGGGGGGCGGGGGTGCGGACCGCACCGGGTGACACCATTTAGGGGGGTGACACCAAGGCAAAAAAATAGCAAAATATATAGAGGGGATGCAAATCGAAAGTTTGAGGGGGGGTGCAAATCGAAAATTTGAGGGGGGGTGCAAATCGAAAATGTGTCCCCGGTATGGGTCGCTACGCCTCTGGGGGGTGATACCATTAAGTGCCGCACAGGGTGACACCCTACCTCGCTACGCCACTGAATGAGTGGCTTTCAATATATGCTTTTGCGTCACCATCAGACAATCCGACACCAAACACTCTATACGAAAACATCATAATGCTGGAAAATGGTCCAGTCGTAGAGTGCACAACTAATATAACGAGCGTCTTGGGTTTGGATCCCAGGCTCCAGTCAGCAGGGTGTCGTTGTTACCTGCCTTCGTTGTACCCGGAAGAACATATTGTAAAAGCCATATTTATTTTACCGAATGCCAGTCTATTAGTGTTGCGTTTCGGTAGGTTTATGAACAGTGAAGGAATGGCGGAACACCAATATATAGTGTGACACTATCATACAATGTGACACCAATCGTTCTATAAGAAAACATCATAATACTTGAAAATAGTCGTGTCGGAGAGTACACATTTATTTTAACAAATGCCAGTCTATTTGTGCCTTGTTTACGTAGGTTTATTTGTAAAATTGTTGTATTAGGAGGATGTGTTATAAAGTCCTTGAGGTAACAATTTTTAAAACTATATGTGTAGGTCATTTAAGTTAGCCTGCTAAAGAAATAATACACTCCGTGCAGACGGTAACAGTGGGAACGACAGACAAGTCTGTTTTGTAAAAAGAAACGTTACCTTTTCGGACCTGTCTAACCGTGAACAAGATGAAGTAGAGTTCACCAGTTAGGTTTCTTTGACTTAGGCATATGAAGGGATGGTATGGTCAGCACTATAACCAGCCGCCTTAACTCTCCCTAACGTGTGTTAGCTACTCGTTAGAGCTGAGAGGACTCATTTTCAAGGATAAATAATTTTTAAAAAAGCTATTTTAATTTTGCCTGCTTTTTTTCGCGAAGGATGTTGCTTATTTAGTTTAAAGTACTTTAGACTTTCGGGTTAGCATTTGTAAGCTCAGCTACGTCGTCCCTTAGTTAGATAAAGTGGTACCGATTTAAACGTAGCCATGCAGCTCTCAAGGTGTGAGGCGAATTGTAATCTGGAACGTTGACTGTCATGTCATTTCAGTATGTTTGATTGATAGATTGAATTATATAGTTACGTTATAATGCATCTATTTTTATATTCCTTTTGTATTTTCTACAACTATAAATCAGAGCAGTTGTATGGTTCATTCAGTTGTCTCATGAGGTAATGGACGCACAAAGAAAAGTGGGAAACTATCAGAATGCGTTCAAGGGCTTAAGATAAATAGTTTATGATTTCTCCTGATCACTCTCTCGATCATTGCTAGTACTGTCAGAACGAATGCTAAGAAATACGCGGAGTTTTAAGATAATATAATAATGTAAAATATGAGTTATAGAAAATTGCTCAAAAGTATTTTATAACTCGAAACCTTTTTTTAGCACTGGTACAAACTACATAAGCTTCCTACCTATATCATTAAGTTACTGTTTAGATGTAAAAAATATAAAAAAATGTAAAAAAAAATTCTGTATGTAAATAATGAAGATAAAAAGTGAAAGTCAGTTTATTTGTTTATTTATCCACACATTGTCAAATATAACGGCAGTATTCACATTCAAAAGTGTTGTATTTATTTCACTGTGACTTCAAGGCATCAGTTAATAACGCAAGTGCGGAGACAATTTTGCCTTGTATCAAACCTGTTTCTGTTTCCTGCACAGCCCCCGAAGAAGAACAGTTCACAGTCGTTTGTGGATGGGTTGTAGTAGAACATGGGCATGATGGCATCACATGAACCATAGTCTGCCATTAGTTTACAGTACCTAGCTGGTGATCAGAAAAATAGGAAATAGTGCTACACTTTCGTTAGGAATAATTTTGAAATAATGTTTCTGCATGCAATTCATTTCAAGTAAGATTTATTTTATGCCCAATTGTCCCTCGTTCCCTCACCCCTCCCCAAGCGTGACAGGGCATTTCGTTAACTCTCCATCTGGGGCATAAGAAATCAAAATCTTGAAGAAGATTTTTCTAGAAGACTTGTCGGTGGCCCAGGTTCTAAGAAAACTTTTATGTTACCAAATATTTGGAGGCATGGAGCCGCATGGAGAAGCATGGCAAGGAAACTGTCTTGAGGATTCAATCAAGAATGGCTTGGGGGACTCAAGGAAACTGTCATGGGGGACCCGATGACTGTCTTGGAAGACTACAAAAAATGTGCAGGAGACCGACAAAAGTGAACACGGCCCCATGTGTCTTGGGCACAAAAGGGAAAAGAAGAAATATTTGAGTTTGGAAATTAGATATTTTCATTAAGTTTAATGTTATGGAATTATATTTTAAATTGCGGCAGGATATAATAATATGTTTATTCATATATAAATACAAGTCATCTAAACATTACAATTATTACTTTTTTCACTGCACTGTTGGTATGGTTTTTTTATCGTTTGTTATCCTTTCTATTTATGTAATTTAAAGTACATCTACATTATTTATTTGTGAAACAAACCCCCTATGGTCAAAGCACCTGTGGTCAAAGCACCTAGGACCTTGATTGCTGTCATTGTAATATTGCCTTTTTTTATTTTTTTATTTTATTCATACCTTACAATTGTTATTTAAGCACAATATCAATAGTAAAAGCATCTACTAACAATTATACTATAGAGAAAATGAGACAAGGCGTAAGATAACATGATTTGATCAAACAATCTGTAGCCGTGTCTTGATGTCACGCTTTGTATAGTAATACAACAATAAGCATTTAAATCAAATTTTGCTCTAAAGATTGGAAATCAGTAACGTGCACTATTCTCTCATGTCGTACACTATAGCTTAAGTTTCCTATTAATATTGGAAACCAGTAACGCAGTTTCCTACTTAATATTGGAAACCAGTAACGCGCGAGCGAAATCTAACCTTTCTTTCATTATGTAACTATAGCTTAAGTTTCCTACTAACCTAATTGCTAGAAAACGTATCGTTGAAAGCTTTTATTGCCGCGATCGTTTTATTGCAAGACCTTTAGGCTGGGGCCGCTTCTTGTAAAGAAATATGTTGTTCCCATAATGAATTACCATAATAAATGTACACGTGGCAACAGTTCGACCCAAACTACCAGAGAGGCCCGTATAGCCATAAGTAAGACGAGATTCTGGGGTGGGGGGCATGTGGGT